CTCCTCTCCTTCCATGCAGATCTTATGTTCCCTTACTTTAAAAAACAGCAAACCCTCAAATGTAACAACTTACAAGTTAAAAGCAGTTAAAAACAATTTAAAACATTTTAAAGAGGGCAATAAAAATAGCAATAAAACCCTGCAACAAAAACCCCCGTTCAGCCACTTCAACTTTTTGTAGCTGCCCCCACCCCCGGGCAAGGAGCAGGTCATCCAGGACTCACAGCAAGATGGCAGTTTGCATTTGGATGGCAAGTGCAAATCCTTCTGCAGCTCATTAACCATGACATCTGCTTCCATAAAACGTACGTCAAGCTATAAGTTCTGAGGTGTTCCAACAATAGTTTAAGTGTTAAAACAAAATAATAACATTAAAAGCCAGCAGTACTTAAAATGTGTAGAAAAGAATAAATAACTGGGGCGTGTGCCCCAAAATAATATTTGGCCTGACACCCATGCATTCAGCAGAATGTCCTCTACTAGTTACTACTAGTTACATTTATATTTACATTTAGTTACATATTCTCTGTGCTTTGTTTGGGCACTGACCCATCAGTGGACCCATAAATCCTTTTAACCTGGAATTGCTGAAGTAGTCTACTTTTGAACATACCCCCCACCTTAGTTATAAAAGCTAATAGTTATTGATGCCATCCAGGAATTTCTCTAATCCCTTGTTTTACCAACTGTTGATAGAAAATTGATCGTACCAATTTGGTATTGTAGTGAAAGGTACCCAGGAGGGCCATCCAAATAAAATAATTGATGGAAGTTATTAAGCCATTTGCATTTTATTTTTTAAAATCCCTTTATTGAGACCTTCCCTTGTCCAATAAAACAGTCTAGTTACTAATAAGTACTGTGGTCAACAAGGCTCAGACTAAAGTACAAAAACCTACACAAACTATGGAGGTGTCTTAGTAATCTCAGTTTTTAAAATGTAACATATTGTGCCATAAACCATGCATATAAGATAGTTATAGCAGCTGCAAAAGTATAACAGTGCAGTAATCTTGAGTGTGAACTTCTAGTGACAACAGCAAATCTAGCATACTTTGCAAACTTATTGGACATGACCTGAGCATTTTCTAATCAACATGACTGTTTGAGCTGGGTAGACAGAATTGTTAAATGAAATGCATTATTGCTGTGATCTTCTCATTGCATCGTCTGAAGAGACATCATCTGCCCCTGTCCTTTATATCGGCAGCAGCAGACTTTACCAGTTCTGAGGCTATCTCTCTTGACATCCTAAGAAAGCTATGTGTGTTGACTCAATCTGGTTTTGATCTACCGTAGATCTACTGGAAAGAGACTTCTTTTGAGATCTTCACATTGTGTGTTGTCTGGCTTCTATAGGCATGAAAGCAGGCCTTGTCTACCATTGTTCAAGTGTTGCTGCTGCTGTATTTATAGTGTGTAATGATTTTTATCTTTCGAAAGCTTTTGGTGCTGTTTTACAGTTTTTCATAATTTCATAATTTGTGTTTTCTTCAGATTATAATCATGTTTTTATATATGGTACTGGGTCACTATTTGAGGAAGGGTTGTTTAAAAGTTGAGTAAATAAAATAAGTAAATATTAAAACAATATTAGCTGCTGCTTGATCATGAGTTTAGGATTGTTTGTGGAGACCATTTGGATGCATGAGTCCATATCACCATTAGTTTTATTGTAATAAAGGAGTAGGCAATTCTGATTTATTTATTTCATAAAATTTATACACCGCTTGATAAAAAGAACACTATCAAAGTGGTTTACAGAAAAGTTAATCTGAGATTGATTGTATACACTACCCTTCATTTATTTGCTATATTGCTTAAAAGGGTCAAATCTTTTTGAACTTCAAAAATGTTGTAGTTGGCACTAGGATTTGAGGGCAAGGAACTTTGGGGATATTTCTGTTTTTTTGATGTGCTAAGCTGAGTTAGGTTTTTCTTTGCTAAGCCTCTGGCATACTGGTGATGTTATCAGTTGCTATATTCTATTCAGAAAATAAAAAATCTGCTCTTAGTTTCTTAGCCTGTGTATGGCCTTGTTTTTGAGCTTATGGGGCACTTGTCTTCACCACATTTATGTCTACCAGTTATGTTCAAGATACAATCACAACACATGTATGACGTACTTTGTGGGTTTGGATGGTATGTACACCATCATTTTCATTCAAATGGAACAAATCTGTTCATAAACGGTAACTCGCAAAGCATTGTGGGAGAGTGCACAGCTTGTGCACACAGGCATACTTGTCTCCTGCATTGGCAGTTCGGCATTGACAATTCTAATAAAATTTGAGGACTTTCTCTATTGTTTCCTTTGAAGGATGCCAGTGACATTTGGCCCAGAAGTGTTGAGGTCAACCCTCAACAACACATTTTGCAATGATCTTTCTGTGCGTGGAACAGAGAAAGATCCTTTACTGTATTAGAAGTTGCCATTAGGTCTGGCTTTCGGTTGAGGTGAGTGTGCTGGTTGTCCAAAAACATTTTTGCAGATACAGTTACATTCTTAAGGATTCCAAAACCCGGATCAGCATGTTTTGCACAAAATGAAAGTCATGATGAAATAAACCCCAGTATTGCTGGGTCAGAAGGAAGGTTGTAACTGGAAAAGGGTTTGTAACAGGTTTTATAAACCCGTGAGGTATAGATTACTAGTAAATAAAAACTTTAAATACATTTTACAGCATCACTTTGACCCAGCACCTGATGTGCATGGTGTACACAGGGGTAAAATTGACCTCAAAAATCACAAAAGTAAACGCTTCAGTATTTCACTGAAGTATGGAGACTCCCCCCCCCCCCGAAACACCACATGGTAATTCCCAGGTTGACATAGTTGAGGGCTACTTGGAATATGGAGTTGTGGAGAACAGACACAAAAGTTTTATGTAATTTCCAGCGCTATTGGGATGTATATAGCCCCGTCTCTTGGCCAAGGGGTAAAGCCCTATACGCTAATGGTTATCTCCACATTAGTCCTTTTCACACATTATTAATGTGTTGGGCTCTCACAGTTTCAGGGTGGAGTGCAGCTACTCATTTTGCCTTGCCAGCTCTGTCCTCTGATTGTGTTGCGCATAGCTGTCTGCAAGGAAACCCCCTACGCTTCAGCAGCTTCTCACACATAGGAAATCCGTGGGATTGGGAACACTGGTGTCCGGAATGCATCAAGCCTCTGTCTGTGAGATGCTGCTTGTGCATAGAGATTCCACTGCATACAACCATTCTTAACATGTGGTCTTTGAGGGCATGGCATAGTTAGAGTGGAGCTTGAAACCGTGATTTTCCTATTTGCAAGTAATATGCAAATAGGGCTATTGTGGTGGGCAATTCTGTATGTTAAGTAAACAAATACAGTAATTAAAAGTAATCAAGTAATTCTTGCTTTCATGGCAACTATTTCATAGAATGATATTCTAAGGGATGTGTTGGTGGAGAAGGATACATTCCTTTCTTTTCCTTCCATTGTATGTAACACACTCCTTGTTCCTTTCCCCCATCCAAAACAAAGCATTGTTTTTCCATATAGAATGTGCTCCAGTTATGTTTATTTCCCCCTTTTCTAACATGCATCTAACACCATGCATGGCTTAAACTGCATGTTCAGATGTGGCTAGGGCAGTAAACTTTCCTGTTAAGAACTATTGGTGAAGATTTGTTCGTCCAGTGTTGGAGCATGAGTCTCCATAATCATGAGGTCTTGCAAGATCCATTTTGGTTGATTATCTCAATGCTTGGGAAAGAACAGTTCCGATATTTGTGAACATCGGCGAACTTCAATTAAATCTTGATAACAGAATTAATATGCAAGCAGGCCTCCATCCGAAAGGGATGTGTGTACACAAATTGTAAGTGATTACATGAAGAGTTATGTTACATCAGAGCTTTCAAAACTGCCACGACACATTAGTGTGTTGGCTGCACTGTGTAGGTGTGTCACACAAATGCTCCCCACGCTCTTCCCGGGGCTGGAAAGGGTTAGTTTAACCTCCAGCTTGCTAGTCAAACTGAATTACACAGTATGTAACCAACTTGAAAAGTTTGAAAAGCTCTGTATTGCATGAATGTAGTTGTTTTTTTAATGGAACAACTGGTGACTTTTAACTTAATGGGATGTGGTTGAGAGAGAGAGAGAGATGATTAGTAGATGTCAAATACAGCTTGATATCGCCTGCTACTGCATGATCGCCTTCAGCATTACTGCTACTGTTCTATATATTATGGGGCTGGAAAATAGTCACAAATACTTGTTGCTTTCCATTCTACATGGCAACATTTATATGTTTATATAGTTACCACCCTTTCTTCCTTGAAACCTTTGCATAAGGTCTAAGAACAAGTTGCAAGTTGAGAAGGCCTGCCTTAGGTTACACATTTCTGTTTTTTTTTAGTTTAGAATGCTTTGTTATATCAAATTCACACTGCTGCTCTTTTTCAGAAACAATTTTAGGTGGGTGTTAAAACCATTAACTCACTTTCTAGGGTGTTTATTTCTGAAATGTTGCTAGTTTAATTTGTAAGAAATTTGTCTCAAGAAGCATCATAAAACCTTAGCAGTCAGAACAAAGATCCATCCAGTTCATTATCCTGTTAACACCAAACATCTCTGGAATTCTTTGAGGGCATTTATAACAGTATATTACTACTGCTGTAACTGCTACTATTTTGTTGCTGACATTAACTAAAGTGCAACGTCCCTTGGGACATTGAGCTCATTGGGGAAGCCGGAGTATCTAGTTGTATTGTTAGTTGCCCAGCCTCACCATAAACATATCCATGGTAAACTGCTGCAGTAACTTGCAGAACTATACAGCAACAGGACTCTCCATAAATGTTTGCCTTTCTAGAAATGTAGGGAAAAACCCTTTTACCAATACCCTATATACTCAAGTATAAGCCGACCCGAATATAAGCCGAGGCACCTAATTTTACCACCAAAACCTGGGAAAACTTATTTACTCAAGTATAAGCCTAGGGTGGGAAATGCTGACAGCAGCAAAGACGGAGGAGGAGGAAGGAGCAGCCCAGAAGGGCTGCTTTCAGGCTGCTCGTTCCTCCTCCTCCACTGACAACAGCCTCTGTCGCTCGCAAGGGCAGGCACAGGAGCCGCGCTTGGTAGAGCAGTGGCGGCGGCAGCAAACAGTAAGTGGGACCCTCACTCGAATGTAAGCCGAGGGGGGCTTTTTCAGCATAAAAAATGTGCTGAAAAAAGTCAACTTAAACACGAGTATATATGGTAATTTTCAGATCACTTTTAAAGATTTTGCAGCAAAACTGTTTTACACACCAAATCCAAATTTGAAAGCTAAATGAATTCAAATCATAACAAGAGCCTCTCAGATACACATTTTGATGTGAATGAAATGCAGAGATGATGAAATATTTAAAATGAAATGAAATAGAAATCTATTCAAGAAAAGCTATGAACATACATATTTTCCGAAAGAGTGTAGTTTTCAGGTTTATTTAA